GAAGGTGTCAGTACTCACAGAGGCACTGGCACTTCTAAAAATCCCTCTCCACTCTATCTTGGGGTCACACGGCTTCACTAAACTGCCAGGGCTGCAGTTGCAGGGAGGCTGAGATGGCAGTGGGGGGACAGTGCTGAAAGGTGGGCAGCAGATATGTAAGCTGTGCTGCCAGCTGCAGGCTCCAGCCTCTGGGCTGCCACTTGAGCGTGTGCTGCCCCAAAGCCAAGGTGCAGAGGTGCTGTGTGCTGTTTCACTCCAGCTAAATTCAAAAATTTAACCTTTTAACCTTGGCCAAAGTCACACACTTCCTCTGTATCATGGCCAAACCAAAACAGACAAGAGGAACTGTCAGTGCTGCTGTGGCAGGACCTCAAAGTACAGCACAGTCTGCCTGTGGCATGCCCAGGCTGGGCTGCAGCCTGGCCCACCAGCTATGACACCCACTGTGGAGCATCCAATAGTCAGCCAAAACTAAGCAGGACGGCAGTAGGAAAGTAGTGAGCTAATTTCCCTGCAGGAAATGTTACACAGCCTTGTTGAATAAGAACAAACGATTCAACTCAAAGTAAAATGAAATGAAAAAATGCAGTGAAACCTGGTGGGCGGTCTAGGGGTTCTGACTACAGTGAGCTCCCAAAATATCCCCGTGTCTCTTCTTGAGATCATGTTGCTCTCTGAAATGCTTTGGGATCTCTTTATTAAAAAACAATCCCCATGCATCCCAGTTTACAGGCAGGATGAGGATGCAGGATCCTTTACAGCTTTTTCCCCTTGTGTTTTTGATGGCGAAGTCTGACCAGGGCTCGCTGGGAGTTCCCGCTGCCCTTGGGTGCAGCATGTGCAGCAGCACTGGTCCAGTGTCCCTGTGGTAGCCCCAGGACTCTGTGTTTTGTCTGTTCCCAGCTGGAAGTGTAGAAACTTGTGCACTGCTGCTTTTCTGAGGTGGTGTCTGGGAAGGGACAGATTTTGCTGTTACAAAATGCTTGAAATGTAAAGAGGGTGGGGCTCAACCACCATCTCCTATTTTAGTCCAGCTTCTGACTGAGGAGCAGGTTTGGCTGCTCCCTTGAGGTGCTTGGGGGGTGGAGATGCCAGGGCAAGGGCTCTGCTCTCCTGCATGGGCAGCCACAGCCCCTTCCCTGCCAGCTCTCCCCATGAAGAGTATGAGCTGCAGTGCAGCCCGCTGTGAGATGTGAAGCAGTGCTGTCCCCAGCATCAAGCCCTGAGGAGCAGCACGGGCAATCACCTGCCTTCCAGCCAGGCCACGCTGCGGCGGTGGCACAGAGCGGGGTGGCACGAACGGAGCACGTCCCAGATGGCTGACAAACCCGGCTGCACACACAGTTATTGGGAACAGTGCTGTGGAGGATGTGAGTTCTGGCACCCATCCACCAGTGATGAGTGAACCGTGTTTGTTCAGCCACAGCTCTGGCATCAGAGCCAAGACTGACCAAAATTCCTCTTATTCAGTGTCCTGAAAAGACAACACTGGTACAAACTGGATAGCATGTACAGGACAGCAGAACTCGTGAGAAAAGACACGCTCTGAGTAAAGAGGAGTAAATATATGCATCTTGAAAAAGAGGGATGTAAAATATTGAGAGGAAAACATTATACTTGCAAATATTTATGCTTTTGAGTAACTTTACACAGGTAGATTAACCAATTCTAGTGTAGTTATTCATGTGCCCAATACCCAGTACTTGCTGATTCGGAGTCCATGCTCATGCCCGATGGAAGAGCAGAACAGGGCCTCTCCCAGCCTCCAAACCTGCCGAGGTTTGAAGGTCCCCACAGGCAGAGGTGCTGGTGCTCACCCCGAGCTGTGCTGGTGCTCACCCCGAGCTGTGCTGGTGCTCACCCCGAGCTGTGCTGGTGCTCACCCCGAGCTGTGCTGCTGCAGGGCTGCGGCACCGGCGGTCACTCCGAGGGCAGCAGCTGGGAAGGGACTGTCTCTTTGGAAAAGATGTTATTGCAGATCACACCACAGACACATTGGGATATATGTTTGCAGTGAATCTTGGAATATTTTGCGGATGCTAAGCAGCAGTTAGAGTCTTCCTTTGGAATCAATTCATTTCCTACAGCTGTGGTAGCATGGAGGATCTTATTGAAACTCTTGGATTTTTAATATTATTACACTAAAGACTCTCTCAGTATCAGCACCTCCATGGGGGAGCATTAGCACACTGTAATGTGTAACAACTTCTCCAGTTCAGGAAATCTTCTTGTATTTGTAATAGGACATTTGGGGCATATATTATGTATGGAACACATATTTCTCATTTCCACCAGGCATCATCTTTCCTTCACTCTAAATTACTCTCCAAATCAAAAAAATGCATTGTATTCCTTATTGCTCAAAAAAAAAATATATATTTTTAATCTTTGGATGCAGAAGCCACTACCAGCTATCAAGACTGTATGCAGTAGGAGCTGTAAAGCCCTGGTCCAACAGGGAGGGAACAGAGTTACCGTTCAGAACACCCAGTTATTACTGTGGTTCAACAAGCACCAGTCTAAAATGCTTTACTGGAGAGAAACACCAGTCATGACAGGAGGAAGGTTTGGTCCCAGCCCAGGGTTGTACACAGGAGGAAGTGGGACACCAGGTTCTGTTGTTTGCTTTATGGACAAGAACACAAAACCACTAATGTGTATGTTTGCTTTCCAGACAAACCTCTCAAACACTGGCTAACCAAAGCTCAGAGTGTTTTGTTTGGTAGTAAGTCTGACCACACCAGGATGAAGAGCAAGGAGCTGGAACAGCCCTGAGGATCAAAGCCAAGAGCTCTCCTGGTCCTCAGCTCGGCATCTACAGCCCAGTGACGCTGGGCTGGTGGGAAATGCCCGGTCAGCTGAGCTCCTGCCTGTCTCAATGAGAGCCAGAGAGATGCAAAACCAGCCTGGAGACACTCACAAAAGGAAAGAGAAGGGCTTTGGCTCCACCAGTCCTGCTCGGTTCAGCCTGGCTAAAGCAGTGTACAGAAACAGCCCAAACAGGATGGAAGATGCAAACTATTATCCAGGTGAGAAAAAAACAGGCTGAACAGAGCTCCTCAAAGGATGGCCAAATCCAAGCAAAAAGACAATGAGAGAGGGGAAAAAGAAACCACCAGGGAATTGGTGGTGTAGTTCAAGGCAGAATATCAGACAAGGAAACACCCTATGACCATAGAGATGGACCCTCTGATAAATGCACTATGCATCTGACAGATGGTACCTGGTTTTGTCAGTGAGAGGAAATTTGGGTGTCTGAGTGAGATCTTTCTCCTCTTCTAGGTCACAAAGGCCAGGTTCCCAGCACAAAGGAAACCATGGCATCATGGAAAATAGAGGAAACTAGCTCTACAAAAGATGGGGGAGACCATCTGCTCTGAGGGAGTGACTGAGTAATGTCTGGTAAGAGTTTCTGGGAGGGCTTTTGACTTGACCAGTAATAAAAACTCCCCAAGCTGTGGGGAGTTTTTCACCATATCTTTGCAGAATCTCTTGCTGCATTTCATACCCATCACTTCTCAGCCTCCCACAAAGAACAGGTTTTTGCCCTTATCTTTAATTCACATACAAATTAACATGTTTCCTTCCCTCCTTTATTTCATTGTTCACCCCAGGATTTTCTCTTTTGCTTTAGATTAGCAGCTCCAACTCCTCCCTGTCTTGCATCTGTATCAAAGGCTGCTGATATCAGCCTCTACACTGATCTCACTGCTCTCCAGGTGGATGTTGTTGACCTCGCTTCAGGTAAGGTGCTCAAAACCCAACGCAGGACAGCTGCAGGATTTGTTCATGTGATGATGGCTACAGGCCATGCTCCTGTGCCAGGTTATGCTGTGATTCACATAATCTGCTAATTCAATGAGTGCGTTGTCAGTTTGAGCACTGGCATGTGACCATGTTGAGCAGAACCAGACTCTAGCTGCCCCTCTGCTCGGGATGTCTTCTGTGCTGGGAGTGGACCTGAAGGCTGGCTGGATAACCAGCCAGGGTTAACCATCTAGCCTGGCATACCCTGACCTCTCTGGACCGTATCTGCTTGGTTGGTTTGTCAGGCCATGGTGAGACAGAGCATCAAATATCTTCATGAATTCAAGGTGGCTCCTGAAACCGCTTACCCCTGCCAGGGACTGCCTTCTCAAGAAGACAACCAGCTTGTTTGACACCATTTGCTCCTCCTCAGCACACAGCAGCTGCTGCCCATCTCCTGGATGCCGCCCGTTTCAGACAGAAGACAGAGGTTACATTGACCAAATCACAACTACTCAGCCATTTCCACCTGGCACCTCCCGTCAGCCCCAGGCTCGGGGCCAGGGGGGCTGTTGGGAGCGTGCCGGGGATCGCCCCGTTCCCGGGGAGGGAAGTTTTCGGGAGGTTTCGCCGCAGGGCCGTGCGGGGGCCGAGCCCCGCTGCCCGGGGGTGCGGGCGGGGCCGGGCGGAGCGGCGGCGGCAGCGCGGTGAGTGTGTCCCGTGGGCCGGGCCGGAGCGCGGGGCTCGGGCGGGGGCGCGGGGCGGGCGCCGGGCGGGGCGGGCTCTGGGCCCTGCGCGCCGCGGTCCGGCCGCGGTGGGCGCGGAGCGGCGGCGGTGGAGGGGGGGAGTCCGAGGCGCGCCGAGAGCCGGGGCCGCCCCGCGGCCTGGCCGCCGCCCGCTCGGCTCCGCTCCCCGCCCCGCGCCGCTCCGCCCGGGCCCGCAGGCCGCTCCCCCGCCGCCGCCGCTCCTCCCGCCGGGCCGCGCCGCGCCGGCCCCGCCGGGCGATGAGGAGTTGCTTCTGCCTGCGCCGGGGGAGCCGCGACCCGCCGCCCGCCGCACGGGCAACAGTTAAGTGTCCCCGCGCCCGCCGCGGCCCCGCGGCGCGGCCTCGCTCCGGGGCCGGGCCCGGCGGGCGGTCGCGGCTCCCGCGGGTCGGCGAGGCGGGACGAGCGGCGGGACGAGCGGCCGGGCGCTCACTCGGCCGCGGCGCCGGGCGGGGCGGGCGGGCCGAGCCCCAAGGAGCGGTGCAGGGCCGGTGGGAGCGCTCCGGGCCGAGGCTGCCGGGGCCGGGCCTCGCGGGGACTCCGCGCCGGAGCGCCCCGGTGGCCTCCGTGAGACCCCGCGGCTCCGCCGGAGCTGGGTCGGCTGCAGGAACGGCGTCGGCGACCAGCCGTGGGGCAGAGCCGGTGACCTTGACCTGCTCTAGAATTTAATGTAAATTCTTATTGGTGACAGTTAGAGAAGATAACAAAATCCCCTGTGTTTTGCGTGGTCTTCTGCTACAAGTGTTTGCAGCGTGGGTCCGCCCGCCTGCCCTTTTCTCACCTGTGCTCGGTGCGTGGCTGGAGGTGTGATACAGGCTCACGCTGTACAGCGCTGGCTGGAGCAGCGACACAGAGCTGCCTTTGTCTTATGTACTCACTGCCTGCATCATCAAGGATTGCGAGCTCAGTCAGAAGTTTCTGGAGAGGTTTTCAAAAGTCCACCAGGCTTTGGTGTTTTCTGTGCGTTCCCAGAGGAACAGGGTATTCTTGGCTTGGTCACAGTAACACTGAAACCCGACAGGCCGGGCGTCAGGAGGTGTGCAGCTGCTCGGGCTAAAGCTTGGGTTTCTCCATCTTGTGTTTTATTTTAACTGTGTGAGAACATGCTCACCTGTACTTTAGGGAGTCTGCGTGTTGTGTGGTAGGTCGACTGTGTCATCCCTGTCACTGTTAGCTGAGATGGCCTTACCTACTAGATGAAAGCTAAGCCTGAGCTTCTGGAGGTGTGAAATGAAGCACACGTCTCACTCTCATACTGTGTGCTGCCCTGACAAAGCAAATCCCAGGCTCAAGGGTGCCTGTAGTCCCCAGGTTCGTATCTGTGCCAAGATAGAAATAACAGAACTGAATGTCACTTATGTTTTGCTGCCCTGATGCAAGGTCATCTGTGTATGGAAACACTCTTCACAGATGTGCGTCCATAGTTAGAAGTGCTGTGAAGCAATACAGGGTCTCAGTTTTGCTCATACTGTGACTTCAGTTCCTGTTTCCATCCTGTTCAGTCTCAATGTGTAGATTTTGTGGCTGATGCTGGGCAGGTGTCTCTTATGGGAGCCTGGGCATGGGGGTGATTCCAGACGTGCCTTCGATGGGGGCAAAACGTGACACTGAAGTTCTGCCCGTTTGTGATGGTGGCCTTCAGGGCCCTGACCCCTCAGTTGCACTGTGTGCTCCTGTTTTTCTGAAACTGTGTCCTATTCCATGAACAGAAATAGAAAGTTGGCTGGGGCTTTGTCCTGTTCCCGGACGTGGTGGAGGCCCAGGGGAGCGGGGCGGTGTGACTCCGGAGCAGAGCCTTGTGCCAGCAGTATCCCCGCCTTTGCAGAGGGATGGAGTGACAGGCCGAGCAGACGGGCAAGGGTTTAAGCAGAGTGTCTGCTTTGGTTTGATGGGACCACTTCCCATAGACTGCAGGGCCTCAGCAAGCTAGTTGATAATTTTTTTCCCAGTTTTGCCTTAGCTCATACTTTTCTGCCTGTGGGAAGAGCAAGTCAGTGTCAAAGTGCAGGGCTTGTAGTTGGAGGAAGAAACAATAAGACCATTCTCCCTCCAAGTCCTGACTATTTAACTTCAGAGCTTGACCTGCTGTGCTGGCAGCATGATGTTTCTGTAGCAAATACATCCAAAGGCCTGATCTGATCATGTACCCACCAGCTCTTTAACTTGTTGAACTTGAAAAGGAATAAGGAGAGCAAAATATGCTCTAGAAACTCACAATAATGCATTCATTTCTGAAGGCATGTTCTTGTGTGTATGTGTCCTAGCCAAAGCCCAGCAGTGTGTGTGGTCAGTCACCTCAGTGGAGCCAGCAGAAAAGTATGCCTGGGATAAACTAATAAAGGCAGATGAACTAGCAAGAAAATGGGAGAGAGCAAGTGAAGAGGATGTAAACAGACAAACTTGGGGGTGGTGGGAGAAGGGGAGGTGTGTGTGACTGTGGACGTGGGCTGTAGCACAGCCTGGCAGAGTCCTTGAAGGCCTCTCCTACACCCTGGGACCCCATGCCTCCTGCCCCGTGGTACGGCCGGTTCAAGGGGGCGGGAAGCATTTGGGATGGAGCCAGCAGGCGAGGCTGCTTGCCAAGAGTGCATCTTATGCGTCTCATCCTGCAGCCATCCTAAGCAGCTCTGCTGCATGCTGCTTGGGGCTGGTGCTGGTAGTGTGCATGGACACTTTCTCTGGTGGAGGCACATCCTTTCCCTGCTAGCTTTGTCCAAGCGGCCCCACAGTGTTTTGAAACTTCTTCCTGCCCCAGAGCTCGCATCCGGCTGCCAGGGCATGCTGAAGACTGGATGTGGCCCCACAGCTCAGAACGACCTCCAGGGAGCATGCTCCCAACTAATGGGAAAAATGTTCTTACTGTTTTGGGCTGTTCCCAGAATAACCTTGCAGCGAGCAGTGCGCACAGGCCCTCGAGCAGAGCCCAGCACACACAGCTTAGTGCGGGTGGGGATGGGCTGTCTGGTGGGCTGGGTGGTCAGCCATGGTGATGGTAGGGGGGCGTACAGGTCAAACTCACCTTGTTTAAAGAGAACTTCATTAAAATAACAAGCTGCCTAATAGGAGTATTTATAGAATCCTGCTCCTTAATTTAATCTCATCTTTCACTGTTTGTTTGTTTTTGTTGTTTTTTTAAGTTTAAAGGCATGATAGAAAAGAAACCAAACTTTGGCGCCCTGGGGGAGAAGTGCACTGCAACTAATCATCTGTGTGATTGCCGAGCCAGAGACTCCCCTCTGACCTGCACAGAGTTCACAAAAATATTTATCCCAGTGTGCAAACTGATTGGTGCTGCTCCATATCTGTTCCAGATGCATCCTCAGTGCCACCCGCGTGGTGGGAGGCTGGCCTGGTGTGGCAGAGCCTGCCCGTGCTGTGGTGGCCCCAGCAGGTTTGCTGTCTGGGCAGGTGCTCTGTCCACTGTCCCTGCCGGCTGTGGGCACGGGCTGTGGTCTGAGCACCAGGCAGAGGAAGGTGCTGGGCTCGCTGGGTGCAGGCAGCTCGGCCGGCCCTCACTGCAGCGGGTGCTGCTGGGGGCCCTTTGCCGGTGCCACGGCACTGTCACCCTGTGGCTTCCACCCTGGTGAGGCGGAAAGCCCCGCGCCCAGCGCTGCCACCACAGAGGGCTTTGTGTGAGCTGTCACAAAGTGAGGATTGATGCCGTTTCCCCTCCCCCTTCTGTGCTGAGTGGAGCCGAAAATGGCTCCCACAAAGGTGCCCTTCTTCACTGAGGATGAGGTGCCAGCAGGCAGAGGGGGCTGCTCTGCAGCACCGTGCTGTTGGTAGGGCCACCCACCAGCCTTTCCGCACTGGTGCCATGGATGCCCAGGGCCCTGTCCTCAGCCTTGCGCGGGCTGACCCGACTGCTGCTTGTGTTCCTGCCAGGGCAGCTGGGACTCCCTGCAGCAGGCCCCACGATGGTGAGATGGGGCCTGGGCAGCATTCAGCAGTAGGTCCCTGGCCCACATTAGCCTCATTCATGCCATCACTGCTGGGAACGAGGAGGCAATGCCGGGGCTCTGCCTGCATGAGCTCTCCCAGGGCCTGAGAGGGTGGTACACAGACCCTCTGCTTCCCTCCCCGAGGTGACATGTCTGTGCCATCCGGCTACCCCTGCTCCCCTGCCTTTGTGGAGCAAGCCGGCACTTCATCAGGGTGGGTTTGGTGGAGGCTGGGGAAGCACATCTGCTTCCCTGCAATGTAGCTGCAGCTGTGTTGGAACCTGCTCTGCGGTGTTCTTAGCATGCTGGGGAATATCGTCACTTACCTGAATTTTGCTTCAAAATGGCCTAAGAGAAACTTGCATCAGCATTCATTATCTCCCAGCTCCTCCCGATGTGTAGTAACAAGTCATCGTGCTATTGAGAGTGGCTTGGAAAAGTTTCAGAAAACGTGCATGAAGAACAGATTGTAATCTCTGTTAAATTAATATGTGTTTGTTCCATGCTGCACGTTTTAGGCAATGGCCTCTGGATTATTTGCACGGTATCCGGATGAGCCGGTGGGGCAGCGCAGGCAGCAGTGTGGGGTCTGTTGGGGCTGTGCCAGTGCCTCCAGCGTTCCTGCAGTGGGGTCCTGTGCTCCTTGCCTGCCCTGAGGACAGGGAGCCTGCTGGGAGAGGAGGGTGAACCCCTGCAGCTCAGGCTGTGCTTCCTGTCATGCTTTGGAGCCTTGGGCTGTGTCGGGGACAAAGAAGGTTTGCTTTGCTCTGTGTATGCTGGATGGGTGTCCAGGTGCCAAAGCAGAGCTCTCCTCTCTGTTTGGTTCAGCAGTAGTGTTTGCACCATTACTGGTCACTAGTGTCTGTTGTTTTGGACTTCTCACGTAGACTGGCTGTTCATGTGACATTGTTATTATTTACATAGGGCCCAGACTTGCTCTTTCTTATTGCCTGCAGCACGATGTTTGCTCAGACTGGGCACTGTGAAGTGTAAACCCAGGTCCCACTGGCACCAGCACTCACCTCTGCCTTTTCTAGAAGCAGTAAGTAACCAGCCTTCTACATGGCCCAGAAACGCTGGGGTTTGATTGCTCTGATGAGGGAATTGAATTAGGCAGTGCTGGTTCACGGCTTGTCTGGCTGCGCAGCAGTGATGCTTGTTTACTCAAAGCACTGCCCTTTTATCTCAGGGTGCGTGGGGGGCGGTTTCCTGGGGCATTCCTGTCTGAAAGCCAGAGAAGACTTGCCCTAACTGGCTGCCTCTGCAGGAGACCACATGCTGAGGCAGTGGCACCTTTTCCCATCCTCCTCCTCAGCGACTTGTTTCAGCACCTCTCTTGTCCTCTCCTCCTGCTTCCTGCAACAGCATCTCTCCGAAATTGGTTGGTCTTATCTGCTTTTGTCCCCTTTGCATATCTCCCTTCCCTGACGTTCTTGGTGATGTGTCCCTTTTGGAAGATGCTCAGGCCTCCTCAAGGCCTCTGTCTGCTTTGCACCAGCCCACCCTGTGCTTCCTCTGTGTTTCCTGGTGTCGAAGCTCCCCGCGGCCACTGCGGTTCTGCATCCAGCGCCAGAGACATCTGTGCTGCTCTGTGAAAATGGTCTGGCTCTGGGGAGTGTGATGGGACAGAAGACTTGTGGGGGAACCCACAGCATGTCTTAACACCCGTAGTGGATGAAAAGCCTCCCTCTGAAGCCATTAGGAGCAGAATTCTTTCTGCTTAAAATGACAGAGCTGCTTCAACCAGCCCGCCTTGGGGTTGAAATTTGTTCTCTGCTTGGGAGGGAAGGTATTGGGTTTTCCCATCATTGCTAGATGGAGACCAGCCCATGGAAGCAACAAAATGAGTCTCAGAGGCTGCCAGCCCAAATCCCAAAACTATTTGGCATTGCACAAACGTACCCTCTTATCAAAAGCAAATGGAAGTGCAGAAGGTGTGTCTGGCCTAATCCTGTGTTCACCTTGGCCGTCTGGTGTGTCAGCACAGGCACTGTGGCATGCATGTGGGCTGTTGGTGCTCTGCCAGGGTGTGCTGCCCAGCAGCCCTTTAATTCTGCTCCTTTCTTCCAGAATCAGTCCATAATGCCTGAGGTGCGAGACCTCTCTGATGCCTTGCCCGAGCTGCCGATGGATCCCATCACAGGTGTTGGTGTGGTCGCATCCCGGAGCCGAGCACCGACTGGATATGATGTAGTAAGTAGAGCTGTTTGAGCTGCTGCTGCTAATGCTTGTTTCTGCACTGACAAGGCTTTACTTTGCTGGGAAACAGCATCTCTTCCAGAGAGAGCTTGACTTCAGATGGTGCTGTGAGAAGTCATTTGGTAGCCAGCTGCCCACCTTTCAGCCCACAGCACTTACTGCTTTCCCTCAGTGGAGGGTTGTGGGTGCAATTGTGCACTCCTCTGCCACTCCAGAGGAGCTTAATTACCTGGAGGAGGGATTTTCAGAAACAGCTGGCCACTGTGGCATGCAAATTTAATAATCCTGGTAATATTCATCCTGAAGGAGTCCTAAGTATTGCACAAATTATATCTCTGCATAAATGAATCCCTCATCAGCTGTTTAATCCCAAATATCAACACTGCACAATGATGATGAGAAGCTCCAGAATGGGAAGCAAAGAGTTTTGCATCCAGATGAAATTGCAAGGATGATTTTGATGGGCAGAATGCAAACCTCTAAACTAAGGTTTGGCAGGAGACTGGCAGTAGGAAAAGGCGGCTGGATACAGCAGAGATGAATGTGTGTGGATAAAGGGAGGTCACTGTTTAACAGCTGCCTGTTCTTTGGATTAGTTGCTGTGTAACCAGCAGCAGGATATTTCTCCCCATAGATTAGTGTCCCAAACTGTGAAATACCAGAAAATGCTGACCTTGCACAGGTCTATAGAGAAAGATTTAGCCTGCTTGCCTTTCTGTGTGTTCTGCTCCAACTGTGCTACATCACACCTTGGGTATCCAGAGCTGCACAGCTTGCATGATGGGAGTGGAAACCAGCTGTCTTGAGGCTTTACTCACAGCTCTTCAGCGCTGGATCATTGCATACCTTGTTCAGTGTGAAGGAAGAAAATGGATCAGGCTGGTGTGACTGGACATGGGCTGTGGGAAGAAGGGGGGGAATTGTGAAGAGGTGCCTTAAAGACCTGGGAGTTTTTTTGCATTTTCTGTATTTTTCTGACTGCTCATTACCTGTGTGAGCCAGGCTGTGTAATTAGCTGCTTGCCCTGATAAAGGAGCATGGGACAGTGTGAGAGTTGTGATAACAGAATTGCATTTTGCCTAAGTGGCTGGGCAGAGAGAGCGCTCACCCCAGATAGCCTGTCTGTGGCTTAATGGGGAGCTGCAGTGCTAAACTAAACAAGATAAAAGAATCTTCCTGTGGCTTATCCAATTACGGTGGTGGTGTAATAATGCTGGTGAATGTGGGTCGCTCTCTCCTCGGGGCACAGCGAGGAGCTGCCTTTGCTCTGGTCCTGCTGCCTCCCTCTCTGTTCCCAAGGAGCACTCTGTGCCCCTGGAGCAGGCCCGGGGGCAGTGCCTGCTGCCTGCAGTCTTTCCGTGAGCACGGCTGCCTGGGTGCTGCCAGCCACCCTCGGTGTCCTGTCCCTGTGCAGCACCTGCTGTCACAGGGCCACGCTCGGTGCCACCCTGGTGTGACAGGACAGTGACATGCAGGGCTGTGCTTTTCTTGCCTGGGTGTCTGTGAAGGTGGCTCGTTTGTGAGCCAGGGCACTGGAGCAGTGTGTGGTATGCGGGGTTGCCACTTCCCCGTGACCTCTCTGGAACCCAGTCTGGCCCAGCTGAAGGTGTGAAGCTGAGTGTGCACAAGTACCCTGCTCAGTGCAGCAGAGAAATTGTGTTCTGAGATGTGAGCAACGTGCAGACCTTGGCGAACTTGGGCTTTGTGTTTCTCCAGATACGCAATTTCCCTAATGAGACACCGACAGCTGATTGCTGCTCTAGGGTGGAAGGCCTTGAGGAAGGCAGCTGTGGCAGCTCCACCCCAGGAGTGTGCTCCCTAAAGCCCTCATAGTTAGAGGTGCACACTGCACCCTGGAAAGGAGAATCACTCTCATCTCTTGGGAAACATCAATAACAGTGTGTCTTGGGATGTTGTTGTAGTTTCCTTAGGAATCCACTGGCTTTGCCTGTCACTACAGCATCCTGCAGCATTCAGTTCCACAGGTGGATTCAGAATTGCGTGGGAAAGTGTTTCCTCTTAGGAGTGATTAATTTGACATCATGTAGTTTCACTGATGGTTCCAAGTTTTGGGACAGTGAAGTACCCAGCTCTCTCTGAGATATCTGTTTTATTTATAGGCTTTACCCAGTTCCTCTTTCATTTGTATCCTTTCTCCAATAAACAAAATGGCCAAAATATTTTCCTTCCTCTTCCCTTTGCTCCTCTTTAAAAGAAACCTACAGAGGTTAAACCTCCAGTAAGTTAAATGCCTGGGGATGTCTGGGTCTGTTTTCCAGGTTGCATGGAGCCCCAGGGCTGGAGCCAGCAGTGCCCAGGGTACCGGACCTGGGGGTGTCTTGGCAAATGGGCCAGAGGTCTTTTTCTCCCAGTAGTTTTTTAATTACTCTGTAATCTCCACTGCCTTTGTGTCTGTTTAAAAATCAAATATGTTACTGGCTCTTTGAATGACTGGCCAGGCCTTTTAACAGCTGAAGGACCAAAGACTTGATTTTGCCGAAATGTACAGAGTGTGCCTGAACTTAGATTCCTGAAAACCTGACCAGACTGGCAAGACTGTCTGGGTGGGGAGGAGGGGTGGGAGGCAGGAGCCTGGGGTAGGAGAGAGGTGTGGTTCCTGTGTTCTTTGCTTCAGGCTGAACGCCAGCTCCATGGTGGGGTTTGCTGTGGGGCAGCTCCCGAGTGAGCTGCTCCCCCGGGGCTGTGTGGGAGCAGGAACAGCTCTGACTCCACTGGAGCGACATATCACCCTGTGGGGTAGGAGGTTTAGAGGGCCTGCTTTCCAAAGGCCTGACTGGGGTAGCAGTAACCTATTCTGACTCTGTGCAGCAGGTAGATCACCCTGCACTTGGAGGGGGTGGGCTGGGGGCAGCTTCCTTACCGTGTGTCACTCTGTCAGGTCCATCTGTTTGTAGCACGTGGGTAAGGAGTGACTTCCCTCAGCTCCCTGAGGAGAAGGACTCTCTTGTGTGCCCGGAGCTGGGTGCCGTGTGGTCCGTCTCACACGTTCCTTGCCTCTGAGCCAAGGTAGGACTGGGCGAGCTGGGGCTGCCGAGTGCCCGTCCTGCTGCCCAGTCTCTGCCCTCGGCTCCTGTCCCAAGGGCACACTGCCCAGCCATGGCACTGCTTCCAGGGGTGCAGGGCATCCTCCTCGCTTGCGGGAGCCCAGCAGCTGATGCAAGAAGTTTCCTGTTTATATCGCTCTGTTTTCTCTCCCCATGAGTTTTCTGACAAGTTCGTGCATGTTTGCATTCTCCAGGCTTGGAAAAAGTCTTCAGCAGGATGAGGCAGAGCAGAGCACTCAGGGTTCATTGCTGGGGATGTTGCCTGTGACTGTTGCATTTCAGCAACTAGAATTAGATATTTGATGGGTTAGAATGGCAGGGTTGTTCCTAAAAACGGGTGTGGTGTGGGTTGGAGGTTTTTAGGTTTATTTATCGTTAATTTGGACTGTGACAGTACCAGGCCTCTCCAGAGGGTTAACAGTGCCAGTGCAGGGGCCCTTCAGATGCCTTGGACAGCTGTGATCTAGCTGTGCCCTGAGCAGTGAATGGTAGAGAAGATGTTATCAATTGAAGTGATATATGTCCACCTCAAAAATGTGGTATTGTTGTAAGTCATGTGAAGTTCCTCAAGCTTACGGAAGTTAGATAAAAAGTTCATTTGACAGCAAGTCGTGTAGCACCAGTTTTGCAGTTGCACATGAATCTGTTGCTGCTTGTTGATTTTTGAGCATCTTAACAAAACTGGCTAGCACAAAGAACTTGAACCATACCAGTGAACAAAGTGATGAAATCTAGATCTAGTCCCTCAAACTGTTTCTCACAAGGGCTGGAGTTCAAGCTGACCATCCCTATATGCCAACAGTTTTCCCAAGCAGATTATTTTCTGAATATATTTTCACCAGGACTGACTCTACCCGTAGGGGAGGGAGATGCATGTGGATTTTACATATTCCTAAACTAGCACTTCAGGAAAGAGCTGAATTCAAGGAATTCAAGTAAGGAAAAAAATCCCAGCAAAATCCTATTCTAAAATGTGACTGTTTAAAAATCAGGCATGTTTCTTTGCAGAGGCCTGAATACAAAAGCTGTGTGTTGTACAAGGGCTTGAGCTGAGCTGGGGCTTGCAAGCAGCAGCTGCCGAAATGTGGGGAGCAGCCAGTGCACTTCCCTGCTTGGATCAGACCGTGAACACACGTCTCTGTCCCGCACTCGCGATAATCAGAGGCCTTGTCAGCACACAGCTCTTGCTTCCTATGCCCTGTGCAGTCTCCACTCAACTAAACAGGGGTGCAAACAGTGGCGACCAATGTCAGCTCTTTGTTATCGGGCTGCTCTGGCACCAAGGGCTCACTCGGTAAGATTAGACTTGGAAGAGCTGCAGTGGAGCAGTTTGCCCCATCTGAGAGACATTAGGAAGAAGTTAAGCTGTGCTTCTGTGGAGCTTCAGACCGTGCTGGAGTCTCCTCTTGGGAGACATCGGTCAGGTGTTAGTCTGGTGGGGTAATCTTGTTTCTGCTACCCTTCTTGTGTTTGCTGCCTTGTCTCCTCTCTTACTTGACAAAAAACCTTTTGGGACTGGAGCTCTAACCAGGTTGTGCTGTGTGGGGAGAGTGCCCTGCTACTGAGAGCAGATCCCTTTCCCAGCACACAGTGCTGCCTCCTGCCCACTCCTTGAATCAGCTCGGAGGTCTCCTGCTCGTGCCGCTGTCTGGTCTGTGGAGGGTGCGGTGCCTGTTTCCTTTCCTTCCGTGGGGTGTGTGCTGTCCATTTGACTGCACGTGAGGTTGCATTTGAGACGGGTGTTTGCAGGGTGCATCCTCACTGCTGCTAAAATCCACCAGTGACTGGGGCTTTCCTCATCTGCTGGAAGCAGCTTTTTGGCCTGAAGCCAGAATTCCTTGATGGCTTTCTGTGAAAATTGTCTTGAGATGGGGCAGTTTCCGTGCTCTGTCTCCACAGACCCTCGCAGCGTGCCTGGTGTGCCCTTGCATGTAGGGTGGTAATGAGAGTCTCAATGTGCTGACTTTTCCAAACTATTGTTTGGAGACTGTAACCCAAGTTGCTGTTTCCTCATTAGAGTAGCCTTTGTCAGAGTGTCTTTAATCAAGGGGCTCCCGAGAGACAGCATTTTTAGAACTTGCTTTTATACCTCCTCTTGGAAGTTCTTTGTGCTGCACCTTGTGAAGAAACTAATGAGATGCTGTGAGAGTTCGAGCTGCTGTTAATTAGGAGAGGTCTGAGGAAGAAGTACTGTACATATATTAACTTTATCTTAGCTCACGTCTCCTCTCTCCCTCTGTCTCTTCTTTGCAGGTTGCACAAACAGCAGATGGCTTGGATGCTGACCTCTGGAAAGATGGTTTATTTAAATCCAAGGTCACACGGTACCTGTGCTTCACCAGATCATTTTCAAAAGAAAATGTAAGTCTGTTTGCTGAGTATCTGCATGATTTGCATCTCTGCCTGGTATGCTCTTACCCATAAGATGATTCATTTTATGGAGCCAATTATAATTCAAGCAGGCGTTTCGCTGAGTTTGGGTGAGTCAGGAGGCAAACTGCAATGGCAGGATATTTGCATTTTGTCTGTGTTCCTCATGGAAAGAAATTGCTGACAAAATCTGCAATAAAAGCAGCAGAAAAGGGAACGTTTGCATTTCAGCAGCCCCTCACACTCATGTTTCCTGCTGCAGCAGTGGGCACTGCACATTCATGGTCATGATGGATTTCTAACCCAAATTACCTTGAGAAACAAAACCTGGAGATAGTGTTGGTGAAGGAAATGTTAGTTTCTGACTCCTGGGGCATCCTGGATATTTTCTTGCAGGATTAACTTGCTTTCTTTGTTGTTTTTGCTGCCGATTCTTGAAAATGTGCCCACATTGTGCATATGCTGCTATATTGTTTTAATCCGATGTGACTATTAAGCGTAAGTTATTTTGTGATTAGTGGCAGTTGTCTGCCCACACTTCTGTGGAGGAGAGGAGGCTGTGCAGGGAGGGCCTGATGCATTCTGCTGTGGTTTTGGTTGAGGCTTGTGTGAAAACTTTCTCTTTTCTGGGGGAACTATTGACTTCTGCAATGAATGCACTCCATCTAGTGGGTAGTCTTGCCTTTGGTCGTGGTTTGGATATTCACAGAGACTCAGTTGTCAGGAGCTGGAGGTACCATTTTGTACTTGTGCTTTCACCGCAGTGGGAAGAGAAGAGTGACGGCAGCTTCAGAGGCTGCTCATGGGTCCTGACAGGAGAGCCTGGGGCTACCAGTTCCCAGCATTTGACCTTTATTCCATCTGCTTCCCTGCCTGCCTCTAGATATCGCTTCCTGGAGTAGATGGACAATAATTGTGCTTTTCATTCTGGAGTACATGCAGTCACAGGAATAACAGCCCCAGAATAGGCAAGGAGGTTATTAAACAGAAAGGTTTCTGCTGATATGAATATTAGGTGTATCTGTGGCTACCTGAAATGTGATGTTGTCAGAAATAATTACAGGACAGTAGCAGCTGCTGACTGCAGAGACAGTGGAAATATCCTCAGCTGGTTCCTTTTGGGCTTTTGGCAGGAGCCCTGGGCTTGGTGTGATTTGAGAGTACCTTCCTCATATTGATAAGGCACGAATTAAAGCAAGAGCTTCCCCGCCACTCAACCCTCTCTGGCCACAGGGAATATGATATAGTGCCCTGTTGAAAACCTCTGAGGGTTAAAGGGCCTCGATTCCCTCATCCAGAAGGAGGGGGGGGGAGAGGCTCCTTCTCCTGTGGGCATTGATGGGTTGAAAGTTTTACACTCAGGTTTTTTTTGTGTTTACCAAAACACTGGGGACTCTGAAGAACTGGGAACTGAAGAACATGTTGTAGTTAGCAGAGTTAATGCACCTCAGTTACCTGGGTTATGGCAGAGCCAGTCTGCAGTGTCTCTTTAGAAGAGTCATCATTCTCAACAGTTAACAATATCTGAGGATTATAAGGCTGTTGCTGTATCTGAGAGTCGTGGTGATGAGGTCCTGGATGGTGGGTCTCACGAGCAGGGGGCTTTGTCCCCTTTTCTCCTGTGCACGTGGCAGAGCATCAGTGCTTACTCCCACATTTCCAGTAGCTAATGAACTCCTCGCAGGCACCTCTCCTACCTGTCTGCTGCCGATGGAAGAGTGATTGGTGGTTCAGCTGAAAGTTGCCACTGATGTAACACAGCCAGACAGCTTGGATAAATAAAACATGAAAGATGAATCAGCAGCAACCACTTCATCTGCCGTTTGCTGTGCCAGGACCACGTTAACTGACACATTCAGGCTTGGCAGCATCCAGCATTGCTTGCTCTGAGCTGCCCTGGCCGTGGAGGGTCAGAGGCGTGTGGGGCTGCCCTGCCTTGGCCTCTTTACATGAGCAAAGGACGTGTGCCACACGTCCTGGTGGGACAGGGCTGCAGATGTGCTGGCCCTCCTGCTGAGGAGTTGACCATAAAATGCAGGACCTCCAAAAAATAAACACAGACCCGATCTCCCCTTATTTCAGAGCCTGCAAATTTAAATATGTTTTTAAATAGTTCAGTGGAATAATCAGAGTAGAGGTTTGCCTGAAAAACTCTGCCAGATAAAAACTAAAGGAGGTACTTAGCAGCCAGTAACAGTAAAACTCACTGATATGGTTTGATGGCTTGGGATGAAATTTTAGTTCTGTATTGCATTTCTTTTTGTAAGGGCTGTGCAGTAACTAAAGTGTGTTCTTCTTCCATACGTGAATCCAGATTGTTGGCAGCAGTGCTGGCTTTAATGAGAACTGCAAAAAAAATCTGGTCTCTAAACCATTGTGGAGGCTGTCACTTTGAATTGTGCTCTGAGCTCTTCAAGCCTTGATTAATAGGATGAGGCATGAGTTCAGAATTCACATGGACTCCAAATGACGTTCTTCATTCCAAATGGCCCGTGCTTCTGGAGTGTGCTGTTTGGAGCTAGAACCATGTCTGTTCAGTACTAATTAGCTAATGCACGTAATAACTTTGGCTGTGTCTGCATGAGCCATCGTCCTGTGATGCTTTCTGCTGTTGCTGTTGTAGGTGTAGAGTGTCTAAGAACTGAGGTGACCTGCTCAGTGGATGAGTTGGTGGAGGTGGTACTTTGAACTGCAGTTTTCCAAGGCAGAGAATTTGGTTGTGCTTCCAAATATCTGGAAGTATGGCAGTGAACGAAGTGTTAAAATCTTGAATGCTGAAAGTTGACTGGTATCTCCTAGTCAATCGTTGTCTGGTTCCTTCAGAAGGGACCATTGCAAGGGTTGGCTTGGTACCTTCTTACCATTTTTAAAGCTGTGCTTGGACAAGGCATCTTGTGGTTCAGCAGGGGGGAAAAGCTGGGTTTGATTCTGGTGACCTTGTAATAATCACGTGTTTCTTTTCTCTCTCCAAAGAGTCATTTAGGCAACGTCTTGGTTGATATGAAGCTCATTGATATCAAGGACACTTTACCTGTGGGCTTCATTCCCATCCAGGAGACCATCGATACACGTGAGTTGATACCTGTTCTTGCCTCCTGTTCTGCCAGTACCTGTGTGGTCAGGCAGAGGAGGACTGTGTCCCAGGCCGTGGAGGGCTGTGTCCCAAGCAGAGGGTTGCTTTTGGCTCTCTGGATTGACATATGCATGTGTAGGGGCAGCTCTGGGCTGCAGTGAAGCAGTTTGGTTTCCTTGGACTCCTCAAGCTGTTTAATGGGACTGCCTGGCTGTCTCCACTCGCCTGCTGGAGCCCCACGGCTTTGAGGCAGGAAAAGAAAGTTTATTTTTTCGTTTTGAAGGGTGGACTGGGCCTTGCAGGAGCAGAGGGGTGTTCACAAATGCACTGAAAGGAAGGGGGTGTGCTTGTGGTGCTGTGTTCATGCACACCCACTCTGCATCTCCCACCGTGAACGAACGAGGGCCCACGTCCTGCCAGGTGGTGCTGAGGGGGGTGAGATATGTTTGTGCTTGCTGAGAGAAGGCACAAGTGCAGTGTCCAGGGGGAATACCATTCTCATTTCTGCAAGGCAGAATCGCTTCACTGCAACAGTTAAGTGAGCAGTTCCCAAACAGTGCGTTCAGCTCCCCTGGGACTCGAGGCAGCGGCTGCTGGAGCTGTGTCTGGTGGCAGCCCCTGTGCTCTGCAGCGGGCACTGAGGGCGTGGGGCTGGCAGGGAACGAGCCCTGTGGGAGCAGAGTGTGAGGGGATGGCAGGACACCAGTGCTGGTGCTCAGTGTGCAGCTGCTGATCACAGCAGGGCTGTCCTAGTGTGTGTCAGTGATGAAATCCAGCCTAGGAACGAGCAGAAAGGGGTTACATGAGCCTGCTTTGCAGGGAATCTGGAGCTGCAGCATGTGAAGATGGTTTTTTAGTCGCTGCAGTCTGGTTCTGATTGGAACCTGTCACCTGGAAGCGAAAGGCTCTGCAGCCCATTCCCCTGGGTCACTCCCTGGGCACATGTGGTGTGAGGTGGAGTTATTGGCTTATCCTGCTCGCCGTTGGGAGTGCTGGGCCTTACTGCCTGCTGCTGCTGTTTCTGTGAAAGGCCTGGTGGAAGGGTGCAAGGGGGCTTCGTTACTAATTTGAAATGCATTGGGTTGTCACCCCACAGTCTGTAAAGCAGAGGCACTGCCTGTACTAAGGAAGCAGTGCATATCTCTGCCTCTGTTGGCATGAATGAACACACTTCGATTGACTGTTTATAATAGGTGTACTTAAAATTAACTCTGGCTAAGCATGTGTAACTACTGAATCCAACTCCTAAACCACACTTGCTGGAGACTGCAGACTCCAACCAAGTGTGAAAGAGACCACAGACAAAAGCAAATACTCAGCTTTGTACTTGCAGAGAAAGTCAAATAAGAGGCACTGATTTTGTTCAGAGTTAGATTTGAAGTTACAGGTGTCTCTGTGTTCCTCTCAAAGTGGCAGCTGACTTGCAGTAAATATATTTAATACAGAACTCCTTACTAGGTCCTGAGAAAATTTTCAGGTGCAGGAGCCTTAAACCCTAGGCTCCTAAAATCAGTTTTAGGCACTTCAAACAGATGCCCTAGTTTTTCAAATCAGGGTAAGAACTAAACTTCAGGGATGCAGGTATTTACCATCTCTAAAAGCAGCGCTGTAACTGCAAGCTGCATGCACAGATGCTGTATTGGCACAGCTCACGCTGTCTGTACGGTTGGTGATGCTGGTGCAGCAGCACATTCCAGAGGCTGGGATGGATTGCTGTTCTCCCAAGGTGTGGATTACGAAACAGGAGGAGCCTACAGAGACAGGGCTGCTTGCCATCTGTTGAAGTGAGAGCATTATTTTAAGTTAGAAGATATTCATTCATATTAAGCTGAAGGGTTTTTATTTTGCAGGCACTTGTTTGTAGTTGCTGGTTGTTTTCAGATTTTCATTCAGCATCTGCTCTTTAGATTTTCAGTTTATCAGTAGACTTGTGTCCTGCCTTCCAAGTGCCTGCATCCAAACAGGAACCTCATTTTGGTCACCCTGAGCCTCCTTAGGGTGAGATGGAGCAGTGGTTTCCACTGCGAATCTGTCTCTGTGTGCCAGTGCCACCTGTGGTCACAGACTGCCCCAGAGCTGGATGAGCATTGTGTCTGCATGCAGACAGACAACCTGCAGATATGTGAATTCATTATACAGATAAGCCTTAACTTTGATGGGCTTGAGTTTTACGTGATGGATAACATGGAAGGAAGTGGAATTGCTCCGTGACACGTAACAGAAAGGGCTGTGCAGCAGGTTCACCCCCAGAGCACAGGTCAGAGCAGCACAGCTGCCTCATTGGAGGTCTTGGCAGTTTTGCTTTGTGAATCTGGTTTGTCCCTATGAAGAACCAGGGCAAACACTGTGGGAGTATCATTTCCATGCCTGCTGACTGCATCAGGAGATGTCACTAACACTTGGGATGTGTGAGGTTTGGGCAGACAGCTCTTACCCTCGACCTCTCTGCACGGTGGGCTCTGCCTGCCCCTCCTCTTGGTGGAGGTGACTGGTTGGAAGCAATTGGCAGAATGAACTGACTGGTTGTGCTTCCAGGTACATTCCTAGAGGTGATGCTTGTGAGAGAAATGTATAGATACATCTGTCCAGGCCAGTGAGGCAAACATTACCTGGGAAGGAGCAGGGGAGCGCGAGAGCTATGTGGCACTGGCAGAGTCACCTCCATTCGGCACTGTGTGGCAGCACTGGGCACACATGGGGGCTGATCTCTGCGGAGGGCAGGAGGAGATCTGGTTATTGTGGTGCCCATTACACATCTCCTGATGAAACATTCCTCACTGAATGGCACTGCACTGACTGGTTTGCTGACATGTCTGTTCTTTGGCACCAGTTTTTGCCATGATTATCTGCCTAATATGTGGAGAGACAATAAATAACATTATACCCTAATCTTGCATAAAACACACCCTGTGTTCTGCATTGTTTTTCCAGAAGAAATAGCTTTCAGAAAGAAGAGACTGTGTATTAAATTCATCCCTCGAGATTCTACAGAGGCAGCCATCTGTGATATCCGAATCCTGGGAAGATCTAAACAGGCCCCTCCTCAGTACACATTCATAGGGTAAGTAACCCTCACTCCAAAGCTGCTGTTGTAAATTCAGTTGTACCAAGGCAACGCACCCTGTGTTCCTGTAGTTACTGAGTAGTAGTTTGTAAGAGCTGAAGCTTGTCGTTAGAAAAGTCCAAGTAAGTACAAGTGTTGCTGGGTTTAATGCAGGAATGAATTCATTCTCTTTTTTTCAGTTAGACTGGCTCTCACTGACTAAGGTGTTTGTGAAACACGTCAGTGCTTGATGCTCATGCATATGTGCAGCATTTGTTTGTAGCACTGATGCCTTCTGTGCTGATTCCCCAGGGAGTTGAACAGCATGGGCATTTGGTACCGGATGGGCAGAGTGCCACGCAACCACGACCCCGCTCAGCCTGCGGCTCCTCCTGCCCCAGCACCGGCTTCGACCCCTGCTCCCAACCTGCCCAGGTAGGTTTTCTGCATTCCAGCCGTTTCTGCTTGATGCTGCGTGGTGTGTGGTTACTAACCTTGCCTGAGAAACCAAGACCAGGGTACTGCATTCTTATGGAATGATTGTGGCACGATGAGGGAATGTGCTGTTGTTGAAGTATTTGCCTGCTGGAAGTTCCTTTGTCTGTCACTGTGTAAAGACACGTGGATGAGGAAGCTAGAATAAAAAAAAAGCATGCAGAGGAAGGGAAACAGCAAACTGCACCTTTCCTTTGCTTCAAACTATGCAGGATGTTGTGGTTTCCAACATGTACCTGTGGGCTGGCCTGTGAGAGTGGGCCAGAGCTGCAGCCAGGCGGATTGCTCTCCTTGAGCAGAGGGAGGGAGAAGCATTCCTACAGACCTTATTAGGGAAACAAGTTTTGCACATCTCCAGATTGGTCCACTCATGGTTTGAAGTACTGGCTCTTGGATTTTTATTTTCTTGGACCCGACTGCTGAGCTCCAGTCGTGCGGCTGACACGAGCCCCGCTCATCTCGTGGTGACTGATGGGAGCAGCACTGCTGGGCAGGGGCTGGCACAGTGTCTGTCCGGGCTGTTCTCCCTGTGTTATGGACAATGTTTGTGTGTGTGTATGAATGAATGTGCTGGTGTGTATATTTGTCAATAGTCTTGTATTGACAGCTTACTTGCTGGATTTCTCCAGGCAAAACCGAGTGGTGTTGAGCCACAAACCATCCCAGACAGAGGTTAAACTGAGCACTTTGCACTCCTGGCATTCATTCACTGTGACAGCACAGCACCCAGTGAATCAGGGTCCTGCTGCTGAGGCTCATGGACTGAGTGGGGCCAGGCCATTGTCTCCACGGTCCCTTTGGGCTTTTGCCTCGTTAGACAAATATGTATTTTTGCACTGGGCATTTGTTGCACTACAGGTACCTTTACAGTATTACAGGAACTGTTGAGAGCTAGAATTTCGGAAGAGACGGAGGAGAGAAATTCCAGGGGAATCAAAGGTCATTGTGTACAAAGGTCATTGTATCACGTGGGTGGAAATTGCTCATGTCCTTTGGAGTCTTGATTTACAGATCATTTCAGAGTTATGCTTTTAAACTGCTGTAAAATGCTCCCCAAAAAGGTATCAGGTGTCTTTTTAAGGCAGGTGTGTACACTTGAGACATTTTTCTGAAGTTCTGCTGGACACAAGCTAGAGGCCAGCCCAGGCCATGTGAGATCAGAGAGAAAGATGTCTTGATTTTAAAGCATAGTTCTTCTTTTTCTGTCCGCAAGAAATTCCTGTCTGGGCAGATTTCCACAATAAAAAAAAAAAAAATTAACATAGCAAGAGAATGTCAATGGCAGTGCTTAATCACTGAGTGCAGAAGGGTCACTTTATGGCTGAGCAGGGAAGGCTGCAGAACAGTGTCAGAGCTGTTGGAAACAGGGCCAAAATTAGAGCTCAGAGCATCAGTGACAGTCTGAAGTGTTTACAAGGCTTATATATTTTATCACCTCTTGTTGTACAGTTTATGGTTTACAATGGCTCCAAGGAAATTGGATCAGTTTTGTTTTACTTGCCAAATAAAGCAAATGTCAAAATAGTCAATATAAAATGTATTCTAATTTGGCTGAGTTAAACCAGCCAGTGTGCAGTGGAATAATTGAATGTTACATTAATGCTTCCTAGTAAAACCCACCTGTCTGTAGCCAGCTCCACTCTCACACCCTGTGTGTGATTTACAGGTAACTTTTACACCACCAGCCTGATCATTCAAAGCATCTTTCATGTCTGTTTTTTTTACTCTGATTATTTATTATCCAATATATTTTTTAAGAAATATAAATGTATATAAAGGTGCATCCTGTAAATATTTCATTATTACAGGGAACACAGACTACTTGAAAACCTCTTTTAATACTTTATCAGCAATGTGGTGAGTTGCTCAACACAGTGTTTGAGAAAGATTGTAGTCAGAAGTAACCTCTTATTTTTACCTCACCGTAGAGAGAGGAGCTGACACTGGCAGCCAGTTTGCTGTTTTATTCCACGTGGATATATCCTGACAGGAACAGCAGTGAGTTGTTCTGAAGCTGCCTCAGTGCTGAGGGAGAACTGGTGAGCAGTGCCACATGGAGTGCTGTGGAGAGTCTGATGTTGGGATGGTAACATATCTCAGCTGCTTTCCTCAGTTGCTGTCTGGCATTATAGAATAATTCTAAATTAAGGTGGTATGCCTGGGTGCTTCAGAACAATTGGTAATGCTGCATATAAGCTAAACCAGTAAAACCACACCAGTGTTCTGCACAACATAACCTTCCAACATGGAAGAACTTTTTACTGTGGGAGACGTTTATTTCTGCAGCAGCCCCTCTGATCTGTGGTATAAGGTGTGGATGGTGGCACATCAGAGTATGGTCATGTGTCAGAGGTGTGACCTGCACAGCTTGCTGCACTCAGCAGTGCTGCTTCTGCTGCTCCTGTCATGGGGTTATGGCTCACAGTCAGGGCTGCACAAGGAGGCTTTGTTTGAGAGTCGTGCAGGACTGCATGTGGTATTTTTCAGCCACTTCTTCTCCTTGGTGTTTTCTACTGCGGGCACCTGGCTTAATGGCCTCTGAGGGCAGCCCTGGCACATCCTGGTGAGGGTGGCATGCTGTGCTGTGGAGCACGGCCATGCCATTGTGCAGGCATCAAGCTGCTTTCCTTCTTTTCTCTCCAAATCCTGCGACAGCTTCTTGGCACTAATGGCAGCCTGGAGAAATGCACTTGCAGTTTCCTGTCCTGCTGCTGAAGGGTGGCTTTTGTAGGCTCGAGTCACACAAGGGAGTTGGATGTAACTTCCCTTGGTACCTCTGCTCTGTGCACGAGGCTTGTGCTGCGTGGGAGCATCGCTTTGGGGAGCAGGAGGGTAGTCCTCCCCCAGAAGAGGTGCTGGCAACAGCTGACTCACCTGGCCCTTGGCACACTGTTGCTTCACCCAGCCTGTGCATTGAAGGTTGCCAGTGCATGGGTGGGGACTTGAAGAACAGCACGTGTCACAAGTGTTGGAGCAGTGTCTCTGGCCTCAGCCCTGCCATACCTCAGGCTCTGTTGGAGTAGGCTGGAGCAGGATTCGTGGGTGATGTTCTCCTCTTCAAGTCCAGGTCCAGCATTTTGGGAGCAACCTCAAGCAGTTTTGCCTTGCAGCTGCCTGTGCAGTGGCTTCATCCCAGCTGTGGTGTCTGAGCACTGGGTGGCTTCTGTGGCTCCAGAGCACGTTCCTTCAGGAACCTCTGCCACTGTCACTCAAACAGCCCGCTCACAGTTTGTCAGCTGCAAGCAAGATGTCAGCCAGTGCTGCCAGAGTGTGTTTTACAGTGACAGACATAATTGCACTTAACTTTTTGCATGGATGTTATCAATCTGTGATGGATACTTTGGGAAATGGAGCACTCTGATTGCAGATGATGCGTCACAGGTGTTTAATCTCCCTCTTGGAGAGACTTGGGGTTCAGTCACAACTTTTATTTGTAGATGTCAGGTTTTGAAAATGTAGATTTGCACTGACCCTGAGAGTCATTCAGTCATTTGGTTTGTGAGGCTGTCATCCAAAAGGTTAATGGCTTACCAGGGAGAGGAGAGGGAAGATCTGGCTGCAATCTCCTTGCATTCCTCTCGTGTGCTAGCACAGCCGTTGGTGTGCCGGTTCGGAAGGGCAGAGCTCCTTCCCGGGATGCCTGTGCAGCAGGTGTTCCAGACTGCCCGGGCTGGAGGGAGCTGCAGGCGGGTGCTGGTCCCACAGCAACTCCTGTGTGGCCACAGGGACCCATGCTGGCCTGTCCAGGGGAGATGGTGGTTCCTCTGGGCTCTGCCCCAGTCCGGGCAACCTCTCCCTGCTCCTGCCTCCTCCTGCGCCTGGGCCCAGCATGCAGCCACTGTGCTTTGGCTCGTGCCTGACCCCTGGGACTGAAACCCCACAGAAACAGCTTGTTTGTGCTGCAGCTCAGCCCTGGCAGCTCTGGGTCCCTCCTTCCCTCCCTTCGTGGAGCAGATCTGTCTGTGCCACCCAGTGCTCAGGTCTTCAAACACTGCTCTGGCAGAGCACTGCACCAGGGAAGTGCCACTTTGGCTTTGATTAGTAGTTAGCCATTACCCTGCTTAAATCCCTGGAATAAGAGCAAGATGTGTGAATTTTCCTCCTGAGCTCCCAGCTACCTTTTCATTAGTTAAACTGCCCCTCCTTAGAAAAAGGAAAAGATTTGTTGCTGTTCTCTGCTCCCAGTAGAGCTTCATGTTGAGGAATGTAAAAATTTCCTTGCTAGGCAGAGAAGTCTGATTTTTCAAATTGATTTATTAAGGGTGTTTGAAGTTGGTGGTGTAAGCTTGGGAAGGGATCAGTGTGTGGCTTTCTGCTGCAGGCTGATGATGTGCAGTTGTGGCAGGTCATAAAAGCAGCACCAACGAGCCAGTGAGGAGACTGGAGCTGGGGCTGGGATGTGCCAGCCTGACTGTGCAATGGAGTAATGGAAGGGAAGTGGGAAGTCTTCTGCCTTCCCTATTTTTTAAGTAGCTACCCTATTATTTAGAAATAACTATATTAATTTTTTCTTTAAGGCATTTAAAATAGATTTTTATGAAGAGTCCATAAGGGAAAAGGTTCCAGGGTTTCAGTGCTTTTCTGCTCTGGTGTAGAAAGAAGCCAAGACTTGAGAAAGCTGCCATGGCCTGGGGGCAGCCACTGTCAGTGGCCTGAGGGCCAGGATGCTTCCACAGAGCCATGGGGATCTGCCTTAAATCCCTCATCTGAACCAAATGCTGCCAGATAAAGAGTACTTTGGGATGGATGTTTCTGGTGTGACTGGAAACTGCTCTGAGAAACACTGTGAGTGGGATCCTTTCTGCAAAGCACTGCATTAATGGAGTTGTGTTTTCTAATCTGTTTCATCAGGAGAGCTCTAAAGTACAACCACCTTCTGACTTGCAACTAGTCATAGAATCTTTTGCGTTGGAAAGGACCTATAAGATCAAGTAAAACAT